TAGTCCAGAAATATTGACCAATCAGCAATTAGCTCAAAACTTACAAAACGATATCTCCTAGGAGATATCGCTTGATCTTTGACAAGCAATATCTCCTCTGGAAAATTGTATTGGATGATAAATGTATGTATTGCACTATGTGTACTTCATGTGAGAACTAATTTTGTCACACTTGCAACTGCAGGGATCAGATCTTTTCAGACTAACTTCATTAGGAATATTGTGACGCTTTCTTTGTAAAGTTTCTGCCCTTTGGGTGCTTAAAATGTATCAGAGGTCGACTGGACTCCTGGCTACTGGACTCCTGACAACTGGACTCTGAATCAAGTAAGATGAAGCTGAAGGCCCAGACTATGAGTAGGAACTAGTCACATAAATGACAGATTCAGATGAGGAATGGAAATCGTCAGTGGTTTGTTCATCCACATTCATTCCACTTAGGTCATCAAGTTCCTCTGCCGAACAGTCCTGAACACATCTGTCTTCCACTGCAGCAAACTGTCTGTACTCGGAAACAGCTCTTTGTCCCGAGTTGTCCCACATGCTCTCCCCTGTGGTGTCGGTTAAGTTTTTCTGGAATTGGTCGAGGACCTCCTGAAGATGGTTGTGGTCCTTCTGGAGATGGCTGCAATCCCCCTGATGCGGATGTTGTTCCTGGAGCATGTGATGACTCTGTCCTTTCTTCGGATGATTCTCCATGAACTTCTGTAGACATTCCAGGTATTTCTGGTGGGTTTGCATCAATCTTGACTGATGTATGCGACTGGCTAATGACTTTAGACTGCCTCACTGCCCCAAGACTGGCATCAGTGCCCATGCTGACGTTGCCGCTATCTCTAGACACCTGGGGTTTTATAGCTGCTACATCCTCTTTTGTGTCAGACTGGAAACATATGAAACAATCTAACAAAATTCAAAAAATGTACAAGATAAGCGAAATATGTGCTTTTGATTTAGTCATTCTAACTTTGAACCTGCGTGAGCTGGAGTTGTCAATCTGTGAGTTTTTTTCAGAATTTATGTTCTTAACCTAAAACGTTGTTTAACAAACTATCATTAAAATATTTACACAGTTGACTATTTGATACATATGGAAACCTGGAACGGACATTGTCTCATTGTCGCGTTGTCACCCTCTCAAATACAAGCAAAATTAAACAAAACGCAACACGCGACATCGGGGCAATGCGACAATTCGCCCATTTGTCGTGATGTCGCGTGTCGCGTTTTGAATAATATATTTTTTCATTCCTTAAAAGGGTGACACGCGACACAGCGACAATTTTTCAAGGTCAAAATATGTCGCGTTGTCGCCCTATATGAAAGATGTGTAAAACAGCCTAAAAATTTACTAAAACGCGACATCGCGACAATGCGACAATCCGACAACACGACATTTTGATGAAATGTCGCGTTGTCGCATTGTCGCGTGTCGCACTTTGTTAAAATATTGAGTATAGTATGTATTATAACATATGACTAAAACGCGACACGCAACAATGCGACATGTCGCATTGTCGCGTTTTGCCCTTTATACCGGTGCGCATGTGTAGAAAGTCAATTAGTCTACGCATGCGCAGACAATGTTATACTCTATTTCAGACTTCACTGGTCTTTTGTTACCTCCAATGGTTTTTACAATGAAGTTGTGCTCGTAATGGCAATGGGGGCTGCTTTTCTTGAACTTAGTGGAAATCTTTCATTGTTGCTTTATTATTTTATATATTGTAACTGTGTTTAGCCAATCAAGTGTGTTTAGCAGCCAGACAAATTATTAGCGCTACTATTCATTGTAATGACGGCACACGGTGGCCCTGTCTTTCAAGGCGAGGCAATTTGCTATGCAGGGTTGTGTCTCTTAGTCACACTAGATAACTATGATGATAGGTTCGAATCCCAGCACCATACACATTCATCACTTTGACCATTTCACCTATATCAAGCTCACAGGTTGTGAAAAAACTCAAATATTGTTAAAATTCAGTCCTCCAATGAGTCACTATGTTCGACAGTGTTGCTCCTGACAGAGTTTCTTGGTACAGTCCTGTCCGACGCTGATGAATTTGTCCGACATCTGCCTCTGTTCAACAAGCAGTGGATGGATACCAGGTAGAATGAGATGGTAATATCACTTAATCATCCAGCACCTCAAAGACAGTTTAGGTCGGCTTTGAACGTGATATTCTTCTTGGGAAAACACCATACAAATGGACTGTTATCATTATGATATTAGAAACGATGAAATCGCTTAGCAGAGTTGCGTACCCTTGGAGTGGCAGAAACCAACCCTCCCTCTCTCACTCCTCTCACTCCGCTCCGCTCCACACCACTACGCTCCGCTCCGCTGTTCTCCACCCCGCTCCTGTCCACTCCACCCCTCTCCTCTCCTCTCCACTCCTCTCCTCTCCTGTCTTCTCCTCCCCTCTCCTCTCGGCTCCTCTCCACTCTCCTCTCCGCTCCTCTCCTCTCAACTCCGCACCTCTCCCCTCCGCTCCTCTCCTCTCCTCTCCACTCCTCTCCTCTCATCTCCTCTCCTGTCCACTGTTCTACTCACCACTCCTCTACTCTACTCTCCACACTCTCTACTCTACTCTACTCTCCACTCTGCTCTGCTCTCCTCTACTCTACTCTCTCTACTCTACTCTGCTCCTCTACTCTGCACTCTCTACTCTGCTCTTCACTACCTCCTCTCATCTCCTCTCCTCTCCACTGTTCTACTCACCACTACTCTACTCTACTCTACACTACTCTACTCTACTCTACTCTACTCTCCACTACTCTACTCTAGTTTACTCTACTCTACTCTACTCTCCACTACTCTACTCTACTCTACTCTACTCTACTCTCCACTACTCTACTCTACTCTCCACTACTCTACTCTACTCTCCACTACTATCACAAGCATGATTACTTTTCGATGTTTAGATTGGATTGGATTGGAGTGGAGTGGAGTGGAGTGGAGTGGAGTAGAGAGCAGGCGGATTGGATTGGATTGGAGTGGAGTTGAGCGGAGTGGAGTGGAGAGGAGTGGAATGAGTGAGTGAATGAGTGACTGCTGTGGAGCGGGGAGCGGAGTGAGTGAATGGGTGGAGTGGAGTGGAGCGGAATGAGTGAGTGAGAGAACTGAGTTGAGTGGAGCGGAATGAGTGAGTGAGAGAAGTGAGTGAGTGAGCGGAGCGGAGAGGAGCGAAGTGGAGTGGAGCGGAGCGGAGTGGAGAGGAGTGGAGTGGAGAGGAGAGGAATGAGTGAGTGTGAGAAGTGAGTCAGTGAGCGGAGTGGAGTGGAGTGGAGAGGAGAGGAGCGGAGCGGAGTGGAGTGGAGTGGAGTGGAGTGGAATGAGTGAGTGAGTGGAGCGGAGTGGTGTGGAATGAGTGAGTGAGTGGAGTGGAGCGAAGTGGTGTGGAGTAGAGTGGAGTGGAGATGAGTGGAGTGGAGGGAGCGAGCGAGCGAGCGAGGGTTGATTTCTGGCACTCCAACTCTGCTAAGCGATTTGACCGCTTTTAAAATCATAATCATAACATTTCATTTGTATGGCGTTTTCCCAAGAAGAATATCACGTTCAAAGTCGACCAAAATTGTATTTGAGGTGCTGGATGGTTAAGTGATATTACCATCTCATTCTACCTGGTATCCATCCACTGCTGGCTGAACAAGTTCATCAGCGTCGGACAGGACTGTACCAAGAATCTCTCTGAGGAGCCACACTGTGGAACATAGTGACCCATTCGTGGACATCACTTGATGTTTCTGCCGATGTGGCCTGAATTTTAACAATATTTGAGTTTTTTCACAACCTGTGAGCATGATATAGGTGAAATGTTCAAAGTGATGAGTGTGTGAGACACAACTCTGCACAGCAAATTGCCTGGCCTTGAATAACAGAGCCACCATGTGCCGGGATTACAATGAATAGTAGCGCTAGTAACTTGTCTTGCTGCTAAAACACACTTGATTGGCCAAATACATTTACAATATACACAATAATTTTCAAAGCAACAATGAAAGATTTCCATTAAGTTCAAGAAAAGCAGCCCCCATTATCATTACGTGTACTACTTCATTGTAAAAAACCATTGGAGGTAGCAAAAGACCACTGAAGTGTGAAATAGAGTATAACATTGTCTGCGCATGCGTAGACATATTGACTTTCTACGCATGCGCACCGGTAATCGAAAAGGGTGAAAACGCGACACGCAACAATATAATATGTCGCATTGTCGCGTGTCGCGTTTTAGTGAATTTAAGGCTTCTTTTTACACATCTTAGATAGGGCGACGCGCGACAACACGACATATTTTGACCTTGAAAATTGTCGCTCTGTCGCGTGTCGCCCTTTGGAGGAATAGAAAAATATTATTCAAAACGCGACAATGCGACAAATGGGCGAAATGTCGCGTTGTCGCGATGTCGTAATGTCGCGTGTCGCGTGTCGCGTTTTGGTTTATTTTGCCTCCCTTTACTTGTTTTTGACAACGCGACAATGCGACATAGCGACAATGTCCCTTCTAGGATTCCATAGATACAAGGTAGGAGTGAAAAAAAAGATGAACAGCCAGGTGTGCGAGAAAGGATGGAGACGGCATGGCACAGGTAAATGAATCAATAGCTTTGTCCTCACTTGTGCACGTGCTTCACGTACAGCTGGCTGTTCCTCTCTTTAATTTGCACTCCTCCCTCGTATCAAATATGGAACTGTGACAAAATTTTGATAATGGATTGTTAAACAACTTTTATTTTCAGGACATACATTCTGCAAAAAACTCACAGAGTTGGTCTGATGTTTCATTGAGTATTATATTTTCATCAGTTTTCGAGTTAGACTGCAATTCATTGGTCCGCTTTTGAACCAAACGGACTATAAGGAATGCCAACAGCTTCAGGATACTATAAAATTTATAAAAACGCTTTGTTCATCTACATTGTTACTGACAAGAGGCCTGTGAAACAAATGACTGTAGCCTGAGCTACTTTATACACTTGTATGACTAAGGTTACTGACATTATGTTGATGGGTCGATATTCACCTTGCTTTCCACAAGAAGATGCTTGTAATCGGGGAGATGAATGGTGTAGTTACCACACATTCCTTTCTTCTTCATCCAGAGGCAGCAACTACAATATCACCACGACTGTTACTTCAACACGTATCACAACTACAGTTCCAGTTTTACAAAATACAGGGTTGTGCAGGGGCTCATGCCACCTGGGAGTTCACTTTGAACAGAACAGTATTAGTAACACTGGTCTGATGGTAGTGGAGCTCTTGTGGAGAGATGAACAGAACAGTATTAGAAACACTGGTCTGATGGTAGTGGAACTCTTGTAGAGAGATGAACAGAACAGTATTAGTAACACTGGTCTGATGGTACTGGAACTCTTTTAGGGAGATGTTACTTCATTCTTAAAAACAACTGTTAAACTCATGCTGAATCTAAGCATGCTATAAACTCATGCTGAATCTGAGCATGTGTTTAACTCATGCTGAATCAAAGCGTTTGTTAAACTCATGCTGAATCTGAGTGTGAGTTAAACTCATACAGAATCTGAGTGTGTGTTAAACTCATGCTGAATCTAAGCGTGTGTTAAACTCACGCTGCATCTGAGTGTGAGCTAAATCATGCTGAATCTTAGTGTGTTAAACTCATGCTGAATCTAAGCATGAGTTAAAGTGATGCTGCAAAGTGATCCTTCTCTATGGAGGAGTTAAAGTGATGCTGAATCTAAACATGAATTCAGAAAAAGGACTAATATCCTGATGATGACTTACATTGTAAAAGCCGCTACTAGTAGTATGACCACAAAGACGACGACAATGACCACTATTTTTGTGTCATCTTGTGGTTTGTTTGCTTCCACAACTGAAACAGGATTCAAACGGGATTCAAACAGGATCCAAACAGGATTCAAACGGGATTCAAACGGGATTCAAACAGGATTGAAACGGGATTGAAACAGGATTGGAACAGGATTCAAAGAGGATTCAAACGGGATTCAAACAGGATTCAAACATCTTAATTGTAGAAAACCCGCATTAATTAATCAAACTGTTATATTTTACATCGAGGGCATTCATTTCACCATTCTGTTTTGGGATCACATTTTCTACACAGTGTGCACTGAAAAACATAATTTGCTCCCCCAAATTTCAAAATATACTGAGATGAAGGTATGGTCTGGTCGATGTCTGAAAATTCCTTCATCTGCAAAAACTAAACATAAGTATACACAATCTCACCCTTATCTTTCATCATATGAAACATACTACGAAACAATCAAATGTTAAACTCCACAACATGCAGGGTACTTAAAAAAATTGGTGTGTTGATATATTGTGTCAAAAGACACAAGGGTGCGAGTTATAATGCCAATTTTTCAGAATGATGAATAAAAAATTACATCCATAATCAATAGATGAGTGAGTGAGTGAGTATGTCTTTATGCCACTTTTAACAATATTGCAGCAACATCACAGTGGTGGACACCAGAAATGGGCGGCATACATTGTACCCATGTGGGGAATCGAACCCGGGTCTTTGGAGTGAAGAGCGAACACTTTAACCACTAGCCTACCCCACCGCTCAAACCATTAGATAACCATGGAACACACGAGGTGTTACCTTCCATACAACACCCCATTCACAGGGACACCATCCACACAAGATGATCTGAAGAACTAACTTATATTGAAAAAAAAAAGGATTTCTTAAAACATATATTTTGTCTCAACACTTAGTCATAGCTAAAGATTGATTTTCTTGCTTACAGACTGTTCGCAGCCCCGACGACCACACCATCCCAGCCCTGCTGTGTTGGAGCCCGGACACAGCATACAGACAATCCGTGTCACAGTCCAGATCCTCCACGCTCAGCTGCATCCTGCTGCCCACATCCTGGTGCTGAAGTTCTTCCTGGGAAAATAAACTTCATTATTCTCTTATCTGCTTTTGAATGTCCTGAATCTACACTCAGAAGCATGGTTGTAATGTTTCATCTCCTTTCTTTGAGATTCAGGTTATTGAAGTTTTAGAGGAGAGTGTTGTCTCCACTTCCATGATACTAAATTGTAACTGCATGGTTTGGTGGGTATGTTGATGGTTGAGTGAATGAGAGAGTAAGTGAGTGGTTGAGTGAGGATGGTCGGTTGGTTGAGTGAGTGAGTGAGTGAGTGAGTGAGGTTGGTTGGTGCAGTGAGTGAGTAAGTAGTATATACAATGGGGGTTCTGGATCACTTTCAACAAAAGCCTCTGCAAAGCCTTATTTGGTAAATAAGGCTTTTGTCGGGCCCTTAGCTCTTGCTACCATTTCCCCTACTATGAAAAAGTTTGGGTCGATAGCGGTTCTGGATCACTTTCAACCAAAGCCTCTGCAAAGCCTTATTTCACAAGTAAGGCTTTGGTCGGACCCTTAGCTCTTGCTGCCATTACCCCTACTACAAAAGTTGGGGGATGCGAACGCACCTCCTAGCCGCGGGGGCATGGCTGGAGTGTGTTGGTATCCTGGGATTGCATGGGCTGCGTCTAACGTGCCGCTATGGCACTATGCCATGTTTACTTCGATGAAACAGTTTAATGTGAATCGCCTATGATCTCCTTGGTGTTTGTAATAAAGGCTTGCCGGGCTTTTTTCACCCCTTGTTCTATGTACTTTTTTTTATCATCCTCGCTGATAGCAGACTTACGAGACTTGGATCGAATCTCTTGTTTCATTTCGTTATATTTTGTGAGTTCAGAGAGGATTGAACTAAACTCCTCCTCTGAGATCTTACTGTCAGTGAGTGCAGTGGAAATACGCTCACTTACTGTGTTCAGCTTTGCTTCAGCCAGAACTCTGATCTCGTCGTGTTTCAATGCCTTACGATGCAGTCTACGTGATGCCAACTTAAGCACCAACCCTAACACCCCTGCCACCCCAGCTGTTATTTCAATACCTAGTACTATAGGTGCAGCCACGATGGTAGCTAACAACCCAACACCTGCCGCTCCCAGCCCCATGCTGGTTGCCATAAGGGCAGCGTCAGCCCCGTCCACGATATTGAAAGCTCTATGGTACTTTTTTACATAGTGCTTTCCGCGTGTCGCGGTCTTGTTCTAGTTGGCGTTTCACATCACATAACTGCCTCAAGCGGAACCCATCTACGGTTTCCAGGGTCTTCGCTACTTCCTCTACGACTGGGTATAGCCCCATTCTGCGTGCCTATAATATATCTGGGGAAATATTTTTTAATTGGGTATCAGTTAATAACCGATCAACGTACTTGAAGTTTATAAGGCCTACATCCTCAGATAGGTGAATAGTGGAAAGGTCAATAGGTAATCCTTGGCTACCTACCCTAAATATCTTGGAGCTTATTAAGGGGGGCAGCAACCCCCCACTCGAGTCCCGTCGTATAATGATATTACAATGGTAGTCAGGGTTAAAGCCAACATGACCAAGTTGTATGCTCACCCCAGATAAAAGGCCCAATGAGTACTTCATACGGACGTTTTTTAAAAAGAGTATTATGATTAATGTGGAGCCTGGGGGCATAAACTTAGGAAATGGTAGGTCAGAGTATATCTTAAACGATAACTGTGCCGTGCCCCTGGGTAGATCTAACATGTAACCAGGGTGATTTGGGATTTGGGAAATTCTAATTTGTTTATAGCCGTCGGGTTGAAACCCCCCCCGAGCAAGATACCGCTGTTCTTAATTTCAGCGATAAACCTACCATCATGAAAAGACACGTAAGGTGTGGTGAGGGTTATGTTGAGCAACCATTCGGACTCCATAAAGTGGTTGTGTAGATTTCTCATAAAGTCGTCTGGCAGGCTCATCAGCATGTACACACCACCTATTAATTGTAGGACGTACAAGGCGTCTTCCGAACCAGGCTGATCGAATCCCTCTAGGTCCCTGAGTGTGAGTTTGGGCAGATGATCGGCCATTGCTGCCCGCCTATACACGTTGTCTTTCAAGTGTAGGATGTATGAGCCACCTTCATCACCAGGCTGATCGAATCCCTCCATGTCCCCTAGGTCGTTAAGCGTGGTGTTGGGGTGATGACTGGTCATTGCTATAATACTATTACGAGATAATTTCCAACTGGTTTTCTGATAATAGTTCAGGGGTTAACTTCACCCCCCATGAAGTGTATGTTGTCAGGTAGGAAGATCTTGGTTAGTGATATAGTGTTTTCCACGATCACGGTGACACCCTGCAGACTGGTGTTGGAGCCGACACCCACCCGCACGTAAACTGTGCAAACGTGATACTGGTGTCGTTTCACCCACCCAAGTTTGATCCCCTTCACGATCTCGACATCATTCCCCGATGGTTCCCCCTAGGTAGACTTTGATGATCAGTGTTGAGTTCGCCGGTAGACTCTCTAGTATCCTGACCACGCCTTCAAATTCAGACACCAACTGCAATGTCACGTTTTGCATGCCCGCTTTACTCGATAGCATGTGGGCTGCCATACTGGCGACTGGGCTGATGACTACGCTACGTCTCTGAGTCGGGACGAAGCCACGCGAGCAGGGTTCCGTTGTTAACGACTTTGTTTAGGTGGTTGTCTTTGTTATCCGTGAACACGTAGGGGGAGCCGAGCCTAATATTGAGAAACCAGTCGTCTTTATCTGGTATCAACACCCACTTGTCATCTTCGGTGAAGACGAGCGTATATGGCTGGTTTCGGGCGACGGTAGTGCTCTCAACATCGTCTAAGTCGAACAATTTGCCCCCGAACGATGGGTATATTATCCAATTATCATTACGGTGGTGACTAGGGTGTACTTAGTGTTGACTACCGCTCTTGAGGTATCTACTATATCACCTAGGGCTCCACCGGAGGATTTCAACGCTTGTAAATGTTGTTTTTCAGTTGCAAGGCGTACAATTTACCATCTACTCGGGAGCGCCGAAACCGCGTGTGTCCCCGAGGTCGGAGATCCCCACATTGACGCATTTTTTCACCCCGGGCCCTTGTGCGCTGGTCATTTTATGTGAAGCGTTAAGCTGAGGTATCCTATATTCACGGGATTATGATTTATATCTAACACCGATATTATCAGCTCAGGTATGTTACCCTGAGTCAACCTCTTATACTGCCGCGGTGAAAACGACTCGGTTCTACCGTCGTTGTATTTCTCTCGTTTTCACCGCACGGCTCTCAGTATAGTGGAAGGGTGACCCCTTGAATGTTGTGCGTTATTGCTCACCTGACCTAGATGAATGTACAGCTCGCACGGTACTAGGTCGGGTAACTTTGTGCCTGTGACGGTTGTTGTTGGTTTTATCTCGTCAGGTGATATACCGAGTGTCTTCGCCAATGGCCGCCGAGCCTCAAGGAGTTTCTTCCGTTGTTGATTAACACCACTGTGCCGTTTGAGTCGTTCATCTTGAGTTCGCTCCCAGGGGTTTGAAGACCTCATCGCTTAGCGAAAGCACACGCTGTAGTAGCCGTCAGTTATCTGGCTGCGAAGTTCCACTAACGAACAGCTTATTGTTGCTGGCGTTGATGTTAGTCCATTGCGGTAGGTAGGTGATATCGCAGAGCGACTTCGAGTTGACAGGACGTATCATCGATCGGCGCGCCAGCTGAACTGCCTCGCCGCTCGTTATTCCTGGAAGTGTTATGTACATGTTAGAGTATATATGCTCATTATATAATAGTTTTAAAATGTATTCCCAAGGAGGAGCATCCTCGTACTCCCCTGGTGTGTTTTACCCTAAACTGGACATAGATTTCTCACCCATGAAGATCGCGGTTGCTGATGGGATGTATTTCAACGCCCAGCTTTTAGATGTGTTCAGCCTGTATAAATTTTCGGTGACTAACGCTAAGGTAGTTCATGCTTGGTTCAACAACCCGATGCAGTTCTGGCAGAATCAACTCAACTTCGCCGTGTGGTGCGCTACAACGGGGTGTGGTGTGACATTGACCGACACACGGCGTGGGACCGCTGAGTCAGTCTGTGTTCAAGTTCCACGTGTACTACCAGGTCAGGCGTATCCTTAAAGAAATCAGCGTCCCGCTCCCACAGGACAATGCATGGAACCCATTAAACAACAAGTACGATAGGCGGGCCTACGAACGTATTTGCAACGAATTCGAACTAAACCCGAAGACGGATTGGCGTTTGCCGGGGCCGAACCACGGGTTGGGTATCCCCATCGTTCACCAAATGCCCCTTGTGGAAGCCAGCAAACTGCTGGTGAAAGATTGGGGATACAAGTCGTATCATCTCTTCACAACCAACGAGTGGGATGACCGTTACATGGCTTTCAATGCCAACAAGGAGTACAGAGTCTGGAGGTTTGATCAGGGAGGGCAGCGGATGACTGGAAAAAGTTTATGTTGGACACGTCGAAAGGGTTTACTCGTGCCGGCACTGAACGCTTAAACGACTCGATTAGAACGTACGTGTGGGCGGTGTTGGGTGCGCAGACGCAAACGCGTTCCAGTATTATCGGTAAGGGGACTGCTTACGACGCTCAGAAACAGTTCGTTGTCAACGTAGAGGATGCTATCAATGCTCCAGTTGATCTCCCGAGTGCCATCAAACGCTACCAAGACGTGTTGGAATATGCCAGGTCGAAAGTCGACTACGTGTTCGACGTGGGGTTGTACATGGCTCCGAGTGATATGCAACTGAGAGTAAAAAAAGTGGTGGGCTACAACAACGAAATAGTTGTAGCCACGCGTGACCAAAAGTTACGTCAACCTCGATGTCAACGTCCCCCACGTCCCACCACCCACGACCGGTGAAACGGGTATAGTGGCGCCACCCCCGGAGCCTAGGGTTCAACCAACACCCCCTGTGGGGGTTGCCCCACACGTTCTGGAGCAGCACATCGATCGTAAAACAGCCCTGGTGGTTGGTGGGGTAGCTTTGGGGCTTATTTGGTTAAAAATTTCTTAGCCGCTACGTACACCAAACCCACCATGGCGACAATGGCTGCCCACAGGTTTTGACTAAGCCACGTGGCAGTTTTAGCCAGAGCACCCAGCAGCCACGAGACGATGCTACCCAGGATGCCGGGTAGGGCTCCGGCAGCCTTACCAGCCAGTTTAG